ACTTAGCAGTATTTTCTGCATATCCATATATGTCCGTTGTGAGTAATACTAACTAGATTTCTGTGGGATATAAGTGAATGAAATACAATTGTAAAGAGGACAGTGTAACTACGTCATATTGAAGCAGCAAAAGAAAGTAATCCATAATCTTTGAATTATAACCTTGAATTTTAAACGATATACCATTTGGTTAAGTAAATCAGTATAGTGGTGCTGGTAGAGGCTTCCTTGATCCATGTGATGTAATATCACTGTGTATGTGTATAGTGCAACTATAAAAGGGGCAGGGCTTGCATTGTTATACAGCTTTCATCTTTCTTGCTCCCTGCAGAATACCCAGTTGGAATCCAAATGCACAGTGATTGTCAGGCTACAGAACTTTCCCCATTCACTCAACTAGAATGAACTTCTGAAAACGTATCCAAACGTATCACAAATGAATTCTTTATTGAGATGAGACAATTCCTGCAGGAGTTTAAAGCAGCGTCTGAGGTCTCTCAGGCATACATAAGGGAGATTAGAACCCCCTCCCCTTATCTCGATGTGTATTTAGTGAAACAAAAGCCAGTATGTTAATTCCTCCCCACCCTTCTTGTTAGAATGAACTATTCAAGAGATTCCCAAAGTACAATCTCACTATGGAATTTTTATGACCTTCTCATCTCCTGGTTGTGCCTCTCAGAGGTGATAGTTCTGGCCATCTGGCTTTTCTCCCTCCATTGTATCGTGTAGGTTATACAAATTAGATATACCGTATTTATCGGCGTATAACACGCACAGGCGTATAACACGCATCTTCATTTTAAGAGGGAAATTTCAGGAAAAAAAATTAAATTTCTAAATAAAAACTGAAGCAAAATAAGGGTAGCTCAGAACTTTTTTTTTATTAATATTATTACCACTTATAAGGTAAATCAGTGGTCCCCAACCTTTTTTGTACCAGGGACCGGTTTCAAGCAGAAAATTTTTGCAAGGACCGGGGGGGGGGGAGAGAAGAGAAGGAGGCTTCGCTCTCTCGCTGCTCCACCATCCAAGGAAGAAACTGCTTCAAAGAAGCGGGGGGGGGGGCTTTTCCTGTCGCCGCAGCTATTCCGAAGCGCCCGTTTCACCCCCACTCCCACCCCGCGCGCGCGCTTCAATCCACAGTGTCCCATTCTGCCTGCCTGCCTGCCTGCCTTAGTTTCTGGTTGTTTGGGAGCAGCTTCGGCTGAGAATAATAACTATTCGCCTCTTTTACTCAGCCGAAGCTGTTCCGATTCAACCATTAACGAAGGCAGGCAGGCAGGCAGAACGGAGCACTGCGGGCGGGCTGGCGGGCGGACGGGGTGGGGGTGGGGGAGAAACGGGCGCTTCAGGGAAGCTGCGGCGACAGGAAAAGCCCCCCCCCCGCTTCTTTGAAGCAGTTTCTTCCTGTGCTGGTGGAGGAGCGAGAGAGCGACTGAGAGAGCTGACCCAGAGAGAAGGACAGGCTTTGGTTGCTTCCTCCCTCCCCTTCTTTCATTTGTGTCCTTGATCCCCGATCCCAGCAGCATTCACCGAAGGCTTCTTAACATTATATCGGCGTATAACACGCATACATCATTTGCCCCCTATTTTCAGGGGGGAAAAAGTGCGTGTTATACGCCGATAAATACGGTAAGATTAAATATATTCAGGTTACATCAAGAAAGGATTTCTTCATCAGCCTCCCCCCCCCTTTTCTTCTTGCACTGAAGAAATGACAGATACATGGATCTGACAGTGATTTTTACATGCATGTTGGATTTCTCCAGCTATACTGCCAAGCTCTCCTAAAATTTTCACAAAAAGGGATATGGGTAAATGGTTGAGTTGTCCAATGCTGTAATTGTCTTGAATGCCTGAAAAAATGCTAATGAGGAAACCATCATTTAGGAGTAGTGTTGGGTTCTATTAAAGTTTCTTGTGGCATTTGGTGAAGGGATCTAGAGAAAGTTTATATATTTTAATGTTGGGTCTGAGTAGCTTAGAAAAAAAAGACACCTGGTTTGAAAACTTAAAACCAGTAGTTTGAATTGTCCCAAAGGTGTTTTTCAAAAGGCAACTGGTCTTTCCTTGAAGATGTTTCATTTCTTTGTGGCATCTCCTCAAATATTGGAATACTGCTATCATATCACCCTTACTCCTTCTTTTCTCTAGACTAGTCATACTCATTTCCTGTTTTACTTTCCAGACTATTAATCATATCTTAGTTGCTCTTCTGTGTACTCTTTTAAAAAAATCTCAACATCATTTTTATAAAACGATGACCTAAACTGGATGTAGTATTCCAGATGTGGTCTTAATAAGATTGTATAAGAATTAGTATTTATACTAATATTAGTATTTATATTAGTACTAATACTTATGTTATACTAATACTTGACAGGATCTTGACTCTATCCCATGTTTATGCAACCAAGGATTGTATTAGCTTTTTTGGCTGCCACGGCACAGTGTTGGCTCATACTAAAATGATTATCCACTAGGACTCTGAGATGCCTCTTAACAGTTACTATTTTTGAGTAAGGTTTCAACTAATCTGTACTTATACATTTGATTTTCCTGCCTAAATGTAAAACCTTACTTTTCTCTACATTAAATCTCATTTTTTGAAGTGTTCATGTCTGACAAGATCCAATTGGATCCTGACCTTGTCACCTGGGATATTGGCATCTTTGTGTTGTCTGCAAATCTGATGGAATTCCCTTCTACTCTTTCATCTATGTCATTTATGAAGGCATTGAAGAGGACTGGGCCTAAGATAGAAAGTTGTGGTATCCCACTGCTTACTTCCCTCCATGTAGATGTACTACCATTAAGAGCTACTTGTTAAGTATGATTTGTCAGCTAATTACAAATGCATCTAGTGGTGATGCTATCTCCCATTTTTACCAAGAAGTATATTGTGGTCTACTTTGTCAAATGCCTTACTAAAATCCAAATACGTTGTGTCCACAGCATTTTGCTGATGCACTAATTTAGTGACTTTGTAAAAGAATTAAATAAGATTTGTTTGACCTGATCTGTTTTTGACAAACCCATGTTGGTTTCTGTTATAATTTTACTTATTTCTAGGTGTTCACAAATCAATTACTTGATTTGTCAGCTAGGTTGGTCAGGAAACTGTTCAATCTCCCACTTGATGCAATTTGTCTCCCAGTTAATACCATCAAATTCCTGTAATGGCAATTATATCATACCTGCCTTCGTGTACTAGTTCTTCAAGTTTAATGTTTGTATCCTAACCTTTGAGTGTTTGCGTATAGGCATTTGAGTCCTTTTATTGCTGAACCTGGATATGCTTCCTATATCTCCTGTTTTCTCTTTCAGTTGTTCCTCCTTCCCATCACTTTCTACCTCATTGTTTGATTGGTTGTCTTGAGGTTTGTGCTTGGAATTAAATCCCAAAGATCAAAAGGATTGTCCTAAAGATTGGTCACCCTTCTCCCTCATTTTTCATTTAAAGCCGTTCTGATAAGTTGAGCCAGTCATTTTCAAAATATATTCTTCCCATTTCTTGTGACATGCTGTCCATTCTTTCATGAAGGCAGTGCAGACTATAGTCTAAGAATCCAAAGTTTTCTTGGTGGCACCAACCCTTAAACCACTGGTTCATTTATACAATCCTTTGTTCTCTCATTGAATGTTAGAGTTCCAATGAAAACACCACTCTGCTTGTAACTCTTTAATTTTCTTGCCTAAAGAACTGATATCTGCATAAGAGTTCAGAGGTTTTTCTTATCAGATACATTCTGAACCTCTAAATATCAAAAGGAAAAATGAAAGGCATTTTTAAAAGTATTGAATGGTCAATTAGGTTTTCCATTTATTGCAATTGAAAGGAAGCTAGAATCTATTATAATTGTAACATAAACAAAATCAATAGAAACTTTGCTTAACAGATTAATTCTAAGTATTGTACTTTTGCTTAGTGTTATCTACTAACAGCAAAATATTCTTAAACGAAGAAAAAAACCCTTTTTTCCCTCACAAGATTGAACTGTGGAATCAGCAAGTGTCAGGATCTAACACTCTTGCATCCCATAAGACTGAGAAACTGACGATTTCCTATATTATGTTGTCATGTTTCATATCTATGATGTTGAATTTTCTAAAACCAAAGATATTTGGAAGGTTCTCCTCTTAAAATTTAAATAATTGCACCTTCAGAATTATAGAATTGCCAGGGGAATGCAACAATTTTTTAGAATAGAGTCATAGAGTTGGAAGGGACATTAACGGTCTTCTAGTCCAACTCCTTGCTCAAGCAGGAGACCCTATGCCATTTTAGACAAATGGTTGACCAATCTTCTCTTAAAACGTCCAGTGATGGAGCACCTGCAACTACAGAAGGCAAACCATTCCATTAATTGCTCTCACTGTCAGGAAATTTTTCCTTATTCTTTTCTGCCACATAGTATGCAGGGGTTGGATTCTACAGGTTCGCACCTATTCGCTAGAACCAGTTGTTAACATTCTAAGCAGTTCGGAGAACCGGTTGTTAGAAGAAATTACTGGCCTAATCCTGTAAGAAAGGCAGGAAGGAAACATTCCGGTGTTGCTTACAGAAACTGCCTCTCCGTTAACCCTTATTATATTCTTGGCAGGACTAGACTTCCTGTCTCAGGAACTTCTCTGGAGTTTTTTTCCCTCTCCTTTGCTGATACTTTGCTTGTGTGGAGTGCCCATTCAAAGTTACAATGGCACTGAAAAAAGTGACTTATGACCCTTTTTCACACTTACGACTGTTGCAGCATCCCCACAGTCATGAGAGGGCCAGGCGAGGAGATGCGTGCCTCAATGTGAGTGATTTGAGTTGGCCATGCCCAGCCAGTCACATGACCACAAAGCAATGCCCACCAACTAAGCCGCGCCCACAGAACCGGTTGTTAAGAAAATTGAATCCCACCCGATAGTATGCCTCATGTAAATGTAATAATGTAATATAAATATATAGACTTTTTTTTTTGAAAAATCCTTTTATTTGGCTTGTAAAGAAAGTTACTAAACATAGCAAAAGGATTATGCTAACAGTCTAATAACAATGTTTGGCTCCATATGTCAGACTTCTGTTGCATTGAAGACAATGAGTTCCTTCATGAGGGTTGAATGATCCTGGACTGCACACAACTATAACAAAAGAAAGCAAAACATAACAAGACAAAAATAATAATGTCATCAAATGTATTACAATTTTCTGTAATCAAATGAAGATTCCAAATTCAAAGCCAGTTAATTGCTTCAAGAAATCTTGTCTACATGGGATTTTATTTCCTAAATTCAGTATTAAGACTCACAAAGATGTTTTAAGAAAAAATAAAATAAGGATATAGGAGGCAGAAGTAAATGTAAAAAGCGTAAGATAGCCATCATAAGTGAACAAAACTTTGAGAAGACTCCATCAGTTATCTGTAAACACATTGTATATAGGTAACATCTCTGTCCCATCCCATCATATTCTAAGATTTATCTTCCACTAGAGGAGTCAATGTGAATAACTACAGGTACAGAACATTTGGTATTGGATTTCTTGGGGTATTGTACTATATGAAAACTCAGATAAATGTTTCACAACTAGTATCAAAATAAAATATAAATTTTGTTAAGTTATCGATCTACTTATTGATCATTATGATTGGCTTGGTTTGCTATGTAGATGTGCTTCCAACAATTCTTATGAATGAAACTATTGAGTCCTTGAGTGATTTTTTCCAGCAATTTAATGAACTTTAAAGAACTTTAGCAAATATAGTAAGATAGGGTCAGGGTCTGTGCTGTTCATTTGCTTCCAAGATTCGAATCTTCTTCAGTCCAAATAGTCCTCCATTTCCAACCATTCATTTAGTGACCATTCAAAATTACAACAGCATTGGAAAAAGTGGCTTGTTCTTGCACTTATGACCATCACAGCATCCACAGAGCCACATGATCAAAATTCAGGCATTTGGCAATCAGAATGTATTTACTATAGTTGTGTCATTCCAGATATGATTGTCATTTGCAACCTTCCCAGCTTGAATTGGGACAATTAGCTATAGCCACATTGCCGCAGCCACTTCACCGCAGCCTCCCCAGCTGCCCCAACGCACTGCCACAGCCACCAAGCTCCCGGTGCACTACCACAGGCTCCACACCCCGTGCATCTCTCCACCATTGGCCCTCCCACACCCCTCGGCTCCTGTTGCCTCACACTGGGAGATTCACCACATATAAAATCTCTCCGGCCACTATTTGATGTGGGACACTTAGCCATATGGGATAACTCACTAAACACCAGTGAAAGGAGAGCAGGAGGCTGCTTTGCTCTGTGACAGGATAGCGGGCTGCCTCCCCTCCCCCTGTGTGCCAGAGGCTGCTGGTGGAAGGGTGCACCAATTGGCCCTCCTGCCCAGGTTTAGCCCTGAATTCAATTTGTAGATTTCTTTAGTCATATCCTCAAAGGGTAAGAAGAAAAGTAAGAGAATAGAAGTAAAATATCTATCTCCAAAACAATTAGTTCAGAATTTAGTTTACTTCTGATCAGGATAATATCTTGCTCAAGTTCAAAGCCTTTATCTACTTTTTGGGCAAGAATGTTGATGATCATCATCATCATCATCACCATCATCATCCCCTTCTTTCAAAGCTTTCATAGATTCTAAAATACTCAGCATTGACTCAATCTCACAATCAATGTCCATGTTTTCCCCCCCCGTGGAGGGGCCACCACCTGAGGGAGGAGCTGGGGGAAAAGGGAGAGGTGGCACTTTCCCACCAGGCCAATGTCCTAGCTAAAAAGCTGCAGCCAGTACACTCTTCTTTGCCTCCACTTCCAGTTTCTTGTTGGTTCCAACCTCTGCCTCGCCTACCTTGCTGCTGCCTAGTCAGCCATGGGAGCGGTGGGGGAGCCAGGTGCAAGGAATCCAGGAGCTTAGCAAAGACCAGTGGAAGGAAACTTAAGTCCTTTTCCAAAATTAGTTTTAAAAAAGGGAGAAAAAGAGTCATGCATCTGTAAGATGGGCAACTATATAAAACTGAGAAATACATCTAATTAATAAATAAAGCAACAGGCTGGAACAGCAGACAGAGAATGAATTGCCCATAACATCTGCAGTGGTTGTGAACCACATTGGTGGTTCAGTGGTAGAATTCCCGCCTGCCATACCACAGTCCCAGGTTCGATTTCTGGACACTGCAACTCATTTTTGTGACCCCATTTTGCTAAATATATATAAATATATATTTTGCTAAATATATATAAATATATATAATTTGCTAGAAAAATGCAGCCATTTAATCTCTGGCTATATATATATATATATATA